ATTGAAGTGAAATCATGGATTAGCATAATCAAACATATGGAATTAGTATGGGGGGGAGTAAAAATTAAAAGAAGCTATTATTAGGTTTAAACAACTACAGACTTCTACTGACTTGCCCTGCTTCATCCTCTTTGAGCTGAGTTCATGAGTGGAGAAAAATGCTAAAATTTAGCTAATATTTTTTTTAACTGAAAACCTTGCTACACACATTGCTCTTTCAACATGCAATTTTACAGTCCTGTTGAAGAAATGCTCAGTGTTTAAACCACCCAACAGAATGGGGCATGTAGCATCCCTGACTACTGCCTTGGTAAGGACCAATAGAGCTCTGCAAGGACAGTTTGAACAAGCCTGGTTGCCATGAGAATATAAAACACTGCACTGAGAACACACCTTCCTGATGCTTGTGAAGCTACAAGGGTTATTTGCCAGCTTGCTGGTGCAGGGACAGGAAAGGAGCACACTGTCATGGGGCTGAATGCCTGGGGATGTGTACTCGGGAGGACTGTCCCTGCCCACAGCAGGCTCCACTGGGCAACAGTGTCAATAAAGTGCCAGGAGGTGCTCAGTGAAGCAACCCCAGCTACAGTGCAGCCACTCCAGCTGTAAGCTTGTTCTGTGGGAAAAGAGGAAGGAAAATATGGTTTACAACACGGCCTTTTCAAAGGAGGCACTCTGCAGACTCATTGACCAGACCTGTAGTCTGGGAAGAGATCAGTGTGAACTTGGGTGATGAAGGGGAGAATCATAGAATTTAGGGGTTGGAATGGATCTTACAGATCATCTAGCCCCAACCCCCTGCCATGGGCAGGGACACCTCCCACCAGACCAGGTTGCTCAAGGCCTCACCCAGCCTGGCTTTGAACACTGCCAGGGTTGGGGCAGCCACTACTTTCCTGGGCAACCTGTGCCAGTGTCTCACCACCCTCACAGGAAAAAGCTTTTTCCTAATATCCAGCCTAAATTTCCTCTCCTTCAATTTGAATGTTACCCCTTGTCCTATCACCGCAGTCCCTAACTGCAGTCCCTCTCAAGCTTCCCTGTAGCTTCTTTAGATACTGAGAGGCTGCTATGAGGTCTCCACACAACCTTCTTTTCACCAGGCTGAACAGACCCAACTTCCTCAGCCTGTCAAGGCTGAAGGTAGATGAAAGAGAAGGAAGATGAAAAACTGCAGCGGGTAAGAAAGGATCTTTCAGGAAGTGTAAATAACTTGAAACAATTACCATAATGCTACCAATCTCTGCAGGGATTAACTGGACACAGTTAACCAAAGAGCAAGTAAATATGAAATTAAGACAATACTTACTTGAGTAAGGATTTTAGACAAAATGCAGAACTCTGAAGGACATTAAAGAGATCATTCTCTTTACTGGTGTTTGGAGATAGCCTTTGAAGAAAAGTTGCTTTGGAAAGGATGATGGCAATAGGTGAACTCAATGGCAGTGCAGCATCCTGGTCTTTTACAGTGGCCAACAGACGCTTCACAGATATAAGGTGTACATACAAGCTTTTTCCCAGCATCCAGCAATTTATGAATTTAGGGCACTCCAAGTGCAGAGGTGATGTCTCTGTTTTTAACAGGGTGTTTCTTTCCCAATCAACCCCCAATTTTTCTCCCTCCTGTGGCTTAGTCCAAGTGTTTTTTAACCCCTGCCAACATTCAGCATCCGCATCATCTTGTGGCAAGAAGTGCACAGCTGAAACCAATGTAAAACAAGTATTTGTTTTAGCCTGTCACCCACACTAGCCTGAGCACTGAATTTATGAAGACATGAAAATCCATCAGTCCTTTGTGGAATTTTGAGTCCAAAGACACCCAAATGGCAGCCAAGAGATGGCCAGCTACACCTTGGTGGAGCCTCATCCTACTGAAACATTTCAAATAGCCAAAGACACCAGAGTTTCAGACAGTAAGTGGCTATTTCTAGGTCATCACTGACCACTGAGCACACCCATTATCTGTTGTACTTTAGGTAACATACTATGGAAACAACATTATGTTTTTTCTGATACATTAATCCCCACAGAAAGCCCGAGACTGCTTTCCATGTGCTGTTATGGGAAATGCTGTTAGGACAGAAAACTATATCCAATACAAGAGGTACCTGTGGGTACAAATAGCTTCAAAAGCTACATTTCTGGTTTTCTTTATGCTTCTTGATAGTCTGAAATGTCACATCTTGGGGTGCCCAAGCACATAATCTAGATATTGCTATTGATGCTGCCAACAAGAAGACAGCAGTAAGCCCTTATTTGCCTACAGAATGTTTTTATTTGACCATGAACATACCTTTAAAAGTGAATCTCCTGATCACACATCTTCAGACACACACTCCCTGTCCTGCTCTGCATTTCAGAGCAGACTCACAGCAAGCAAACTGGTTATCCCTTGGGCATTTTACAGAAAACTGGTTCTCTCTTGAGACTGAAGTGGAAACTGCCCTCCAACTCATGGGACCAGCCTGCAAACTGCCCAGTGTAGCCCCTCAAATACATGTCATGGTAGTATCAGGTCCCCTATGCCAACCACTTTGCTCTCCAGATCTACTCTGGCAGTCACCCCACGAGCAGGTACAGCTGCTTTCACAGACATCTCCACGGCACTTTCAGGCACTCTTGGTGGTTTGGAGGCAGGTAGCAGCCTTTTCCCTGTTCCATGGGTGTTGTTCAATGCCAGAAACATGCCATCAATGTCAGGGCTATTAGGCACTGAGGAATGCAAGTGAACAGGAAGGGTTAGTAACTACTTCTCCTTTGCAAAATTCCCTACTTTTTGTATTTTGGAAGAGCAGTGCCCACAGTATTTTTGCACCCTTCTCCAGCTGGAGAAACAACATGTCACCTTCTACCCACTGCCACCATCCCCAGCAAGTACAGGTTGCTGAGAGCAAAACATGTGCAGGCAAATTTCATGTTGTTTTGTCTCAAATAGAAAATTGAGTAGGATGGATACATTGCACGTGGAGTCACCTGGGCAGGTTGAAATACATAAATAACATTAGGTTCAATTGCATCTCTATTTAAAACAGAGTGCTTGGCACTTGCTACATATATATCTACTAGTTTTTAGGAGCTGAATGCATAGACCCACTGAGGAGAAACATGTAACATGGCAGTTGTCACAAGTCACCAGTGACAGAAGTAACAGAGCTTATCAGATTATTCTTTCTTTTAATAAAACCTGGGTTTATTCTGTAAAAATTGATTAGTTTCAGCAGCTCAAAGAACATTACTTAAAACAGCTGAAGAGATGAACTATATTCAGGCATATCAATAAATTGAAACATAAACATTATAGAATTTTTTTTTAAATGTGGTAAATATTTTACATTCATTTTCTATTTTCAGGATATTGTATTAACTTGGAAAAAACCTGTCAAGCGACAACTTAGTTTGAGTTCTAATTACCTTTATTTTTAGAACGGGGAGCCATCATGAAGTGCACATATTCAAATCAAAACCATTCAGGAGCATGGGAATATTTTGGAAACCAGAACAAATTTCAGACAGGACAAGAGAACACATTTCAGTGGGTATTAGTGCAGTAAAGAGGTTACTTCTCTTTCAGCAGCACATGTACTCCACTTCTCACTCACCTTTCATTGCGTCTAAAACCCAGCATGAGCCCTTCTCTGTTACTAGCACCTTGCTGACTTCCAAGAGAAACAGGTAGGCTCTGTTTTCTTTTGGATTTGACTTTTAACACAAGATTTGATGGTCCTAATCTTTTCTCAATTATGTAACATCAAAATAATGCCAAGAACAAATATTAGCAGCACAAGGGAGACGATACAAAAGAGAATTTCAAGGGTTCCAAAAGATCTGAGGTCCTAATTTCTCTGCTTTACAATAGTCTCCCCTCTCCTGCCACCATGACAAAAAACGAGATGCTCTTTAAAACAAAATCAACAACTACATATTGAAGCAATCTGTCCTCCCTCTTTCTCCTCAGTGCAATTAAAGGCATGATGCCAACTTTTCAACAATGAGACTCGTGGCTCTGGCTGACCCATGTCTTACTCTTTCAGAAACTTACTTTTTCAGAAGCTCAAAGGCAGCATCTCAAGGGAAGCTTCGGAGCAGGGCATGACCAGTGCTCCCAGCGTCTTACACACAGAGGGGGGTTAGCCAGTGGCAAGTTGTCTTTTCAAGGTTTATAGCAAGTGAATTTATCACTGTGACACAAGAAGCCTGGCACACTACGACACCAGCACAGCTAGCGACAGCGTCGCCGCCAGCCGTGACCCCACTGAAGCTGTCGCTGAAATCCCAGGCACATGGGCACTCAGGAAAAGCCAGGCTGCTCTAAATACACTAAACATACTGTGAGAAAGGGCAGTTCTACGGCTTGCATTAAAAATGCAAACTTGGCTTTATTTTTGGAAACACCTTGTTTTTCTGTGTTGCCCAAAGAGACCGGATCTCCCCCATGGTTAAAAGGTAAAGGGGTAAAAAAAGTACTCACAGCTGCAACCTCATTTCAGCAGAACAACTTACCTATCCAGCACAGCGTGACCTCTTCCTTCACAACACTATCTGTGTCACCCTCCGCTGGCCTGAAAACCAGACCTGAGAGGACAACACACAACATCAGGCACCTCCAGCCTCAACCATTTATTAATTTCAAGGCAAGAGTGAAACACTATTTCAAAATGATTTGAACAAAAAAACCTACAAAGACAACATGATTTTTCTACACATATTTCCCCTTTCCAGTAATAATCATTTATGCTGCCATCATTCTTATTATCCTCACTATCATCTTTCAGTGAACGTCCATCTACAAATTCATTAACTTTTTTGAGACAAATCATTGGCATCCTAATCTTCTGATTCCCATGAAAGACTCACTCTCAAGATACAATTGCAGCTGCCCCACACTGCCAGTTACTGTATCATACACGTCTTAAAATTCTGTAATCAGCATCCACCAGGTGCCGTATCGCATTCAACACACCACAGCCAGTCAATACAGACATCCCCAAACACACCAAGGCTGGTTTTGTCAAATGTTTTATTGAGTGTAGACATCTGGAGTACTGTAAAACATGCATTATCTGTAGATTCAAAAAGGAGCAAGCCACATTGTCCTCACTGTCAAACGTGTCAGGCTTGGCATACATGATGGAGATTAATGAAGTATCATGAGAGTAATATGGTTCCCGAAAAGCTTCTACAATTTGGAGTAGGGTCTTAATCGTTTGAAATGCAAAGCTGTTCACATTTAGTGAACTTGCATGTTTGCTGGAGGTGCCATATTTTAATTCAAAACAAACAAGAATCATTTTACTGGGGGGAGGGGAGGGAGGTTCCCTAGGTAGAAACTGTATGCTTTTTGTTTCCAGATATTCCATCCCAAATAAAAATTCATATGCTTTTTGAAACAGCACAGTTTATTTCTGAGCGAACAACATCTGATATTCATTTCTTCTTGGGTTGTTGAGGTGTATTAAATTTAAAGAAGATAATATCTCCATCCTCCACTACGTAATTTCTGCCTTGTTGCCTGTATTTTCCAGCAGCCTGTAAATGGAACAGACGAAAGGAAAAACCGGTTATTTCATTAAACATTTCATAGTATTTTCAAATGGCAATTATTTAAATACAATTTGGTAAAGAAATGGTAACTACCTCAGCTTCAGAGTTTGACAGCCACAATACTCCTCAGTTTGACATCACTTGGTTTTACATACATATAAAATACACACAAAAGTAATTTAACCTCCACTGGATCAGTAGTGCTTAAAATCCATCTGCATTAGATGGTGGTAAACCCTGTAATCCCTGGCAAGCCTTAAGATAAAGGACTCTGAAAACAGCTCTATTTTTCTCCCCCCTGGATTTCTTTTTCTTCACCTGAAAAACCTGCAGATAGCAAACACCAGTAGCAGGAGTCTAAACAAGTATTGTTGGAAAGGGCCATCGGCAACAGTTTGCACCAGGGTAGAACAGCTCTTAAGTGGATACCTGAACTACTCCCGAGCGGCTGGACAAGACAGCACTGTCAAAACTAACGATGGGAACACAGTGCAGAAGTCACAACTGTGTGTGCCTTGTGCTTCGAGCAGGGCTCTCCTGCTTGCTTGTACCTGGATAATGAAGGGCTAAGGAGCACAAAATGCAGGCTCAGTTTTTTCTGTCAGAAATTTCCTTTAGAAGAAATTTGTTTCAGAAGGACAGATAGAAGAGCTGCTAAGCTGTGAAACCAGGATACAGGAGGAAGGCATATAGACCAAAGACATGAAAAGGAAATTCGTTATGGAAATGCTGTACTTGAGGAGAGCAGAAAATAGGCAAAGAATCTATTAAATATCAGTACTCTCCACATTAGAATTTATTATTCTATTTTCCTATCGTTATCTCATGATAATTAAACCTAGGATTACAGAGGCTGCAGCATTAGGACTGACAGGCTGGGCGGGAGGTGGTCTGCGGAAGCATTTATCTTGAAAAGTGTCTCCAATATGGAAAAGTTGAGAGCTTCTGCTTTAGTTCAATAACCGTTCCTGTTTTGAAGTTTTCTCTTGCAGGAGAAAGTGCTTCCATGCAAGACCTGACTGTGCCATTATTCTCAATGACACTATCACAGTGGTGGCATGCTAAGATCCCATTACAGGAAAGCTGTTAACTAATGACCTTAGTTGCTGTAGAACAGAACAGATTAATGGTACACAGTTAACTCAGACACCTTTCTTTCACAAAACCCGCTCTGTAAAGCAACGTATTTCCCCATATTGCTGTCTGGAAATTTAGAGGCTCAATAACCTTGTTGCTGTCAATCCTTATTTAAAGGCTGTCCTCAGTGATGTTAGCCTATGGAAAACTGCAGCTGAGATAGCCTCGACAATAAATACACAGTGAAACAGCAATTGATCTTACCCCATACAATACTATGGATAACTAAGAAATAGGACTTTGCAAATGTTTTTATATTTCTTCCCCCTGGAAATCAGTAAAAGGTTTACTTTCAAGCAGACGTAGTAGCTCTTTTCTTTGAAGATCCTAATAATGCTCAAAGTCAAGAGTAATTAGACTAATTGATGGCATAAACACTAATAAAACAGCGCTGTAAAAATCAGCAGCAAGTGTAAGCTGCAGGCACAGGTACAGAGACATTTTACAGCTGAATACATTTATTAATCACAAATATTTGTGGACAAAACTGGCCTCCACAAAGTAACCACACAGATTTTTTAGCACACTGTCAAAGTGGCATAGACTTCTTTAATTAAATACATTTTGACACACTAATGCAAGTTTATATATTTTTGTTACCAGTTTACAGTTAATTAAAAGTGACAGTGTTCCTTTAAATTCTCTAGAGACCATTTAATCCATTTCCATTGCTATCAGAAACACTGGTTGAAAAAATCAATACCCATTTGTGAATCTTGAGTATGTATTAAACAAGACACGTCTAACCAGTTCATTTGCACTTGAAAGCAGCCATCTGTAGAAGCCAGCTTTGCCTAAGCAGATATGATTGCTAATAATGTGATATCCCTGTAGACTACAAAGCCCACACAGAGCTATTCAGTGTATAGTTCACAGCACTGGCATTAAATTAGTTATGCCGCACTGGTGTTAAACACACACAAAATCAAACTTAAAAATCGATCAACTCGATAACATACAAAGCAAGCAACTCCCATTGCCACTGTGATTTCAGTTGACTCCCTAAAAGCTCCTAAATTTAATTTTAAAAGTAATTAGGATTGTGTATGGCATGAAACATTGTATTAAATGCAAATTAGAAAAGACCAGAGGAATATGATACTTTTTTTTCTCAAAACAAGGTGTTTTTTTCTAACCTTGATATTAAAACTGAGTAACAAATGCAGATATGCTTGTTTTGCAGATACTTCAAAACAATAACAATTTAACCACTAAATATAATCTGAGCATGGAAGCTTAATTTTTAGAATCCCACACCATGAAAGGCAAAGAAAAATATACAAGCAAAACACTTATTGATCAATCCAATAGGTGTGAAGTGCAGCAGCTTCTCAAGGAAAACATTCAGATTTGAGCACCAGAAACTGTTGCTGGCGAGATTTGAATCTCAGTAACGTAAAGTGGTTTCTGACTGCAGAATATTAGATTTATTTATAGCTGTGGTTTCACTTTACAACTACAACTCTACTTCCCTTTTCATAAGGCAGTTCACATGCCGCAACGAACCAATTATATGGGATTTTTTTTCCTCACTTCCTGGGGTTCAAACAAACCTATTAAAGTCCTGCTGCTCAGTATGATCTTCCTTAGTGATACCACTGAGAATAAGCTGAATTTGAAATCATAGTTTTGCATACCTTTCAAGCTATCAAATAGCAAACAATAAAGCTGAACCTTTTAAATTCTTTAACACATTATAGTGTGTAGGAACCTTCAAACACTGAGACTGAGTAAATCAAACTAATGTGCTTTGTGATTTTATAAAATACAGAGCTTAAGAAAATATCAGAAATGCCAAATGAGAAATCAAATGTGTATGGAATAAACCTTACAGAAGGTGGAAATACTGCATTAGCAATGCAGGGAAGAACAGCTTTTCTTACAACATTTATTTGCCATGTACAAGTTCATTTCATACTTAATAACTTCAAATCAGATATAATTTGTCAGCTCTAAAAGGGCACAACTTTGGGCACCCAAGCAGTCTCTGCCCTCTAGTGTTGAGAAAGCAGATAAAACTCTTCTCAATCCAAGTGTCACTACAAAGAAGCCTGAGCTCAAAAAAGAAAGTTTTGCATTAAATATCTTGGCTCTGTACTCAGCAGATAGTAGCCAGGGAAATTTACCTATTGTAATGTGTTTTGTAGACTACGTACAACTACTCGTGGCACCCTGAACAATCAGAGAAAGGCATGGCATTTTTGAATCAGACATCAAAGGGCAATTGAATTAAATAATGAAACGGTAAATTTCAAGATCCTAATTATGCTCATCAGAGCCTAGAATGCCACAAATCCTGAAAAAAGGTACATTTTTATAATATAGTATTTCCCTAACTATTTGCATCTGACATTTGTAATGCCTTTATTGCAAACTCAAAACAAGATAACGCATCAAAAGAAACAGATTTTCTGTGTTTCTTGCATTTCCTTTTAGAAGTGATTAAAAAATCTGCTATGTCATCTTAAAAATCTGACTTTCCAAAACCATAATTTTAAAGCTTATTAAATTCTGAACACTAACATGTAAACAGAGAGAAACACCTCAACACATTAGCATAGTATTTGGTCTTAGTTCTGACTTTTAGCCCATACACTGTCATATCTTGCATCCTGAAATAGTTGCATTCCTGTCCAGTGAGTTGGTGCATTTGAACACTTTCCTAAGTAAAAGGTGAAAATAGATTTTGGTCTGTTGCTAGAGGTGACTGTAAAGATTCTCTTAGCATTGAGAACTTCTTCCCAGTGAAAACCAGACCTGAAATGGAAAATTGGCACATACGGAGGAAGAAAGAAGAAAAAGATGGGAAGCTCACCTTGACAGCAGCTTCTGAACCTCCTTCTTTAAAATCTTCATATTTCATTACTTCAGCCATAATGAATCCCTTTTCAAAATCTGTGTGAATCTTCCCTGCTGCCTGAGGAGCCTTCGTCCCTTTCTGCCAAAGGAAAGACCAGAGGAAAATTAATTGCATGGAAGAAGATTGATTGCAGGAAAGAGGTTTCTCCTTTCTGATATGCTTTCAGGATCTGCTGAAACTTTGTTTCCTATCAGCTAAGGAGCCATGCACACCGCTGGGCAATTCTCAACAGTGGGACACACAGGCAGAGCCTTCGTCACAGATAAACCAACGACACTGAAGCACAGCAGCTTTGTTTTTCCTAATAGGTATCAACAGCAGTATTGATTTTAGAAGCTACGATTGTGTTTTGTTGGGAGATTCACTTCGATCCCTGGCTTTCCACATGGAAAGTGAGGAAAATAAAGATTTTTTAAATAACTTTAAAATCTGAATTGCTCAAGACTTTTACTGATGTCCAAATAATTTCAGTTAAATGCTAACATTCATTGGCGAACCACGTTTGCCATCACAAATTTATGGCTCTCAGGCCCTGCACATTAGCTTATTTTCATTTCAGAATAATTTTAGTAAGCTTCATACAGAACAAGCTGAGAATTCTTACTGAAATGTCAACAACTGAATCACTAAAAAAAAATAAATCACAGGCAACTTTAAGATAATTTAAGTTTCTGCAATAGAGGAGAATGCGTTACAACTGATGCTTTAAATCACAAGGACATACATTCTGTGCACACACAACCATGGAGAGAAATTTGAGAAATAATGGTGACCTAAAGGCTGCTTAATAAAGCATGTTAAAGTGCTAAGGAGTCTGACACTGTAAAGCACAGTTTTTACAATAAAAGATGTATTGGGTTAATATGGCTACTCACTGATGCTTACCTGACTAAATATCTTTGCACATTAAATCAAAGATACTTACAATCAGTCTTAAGATAAACCAGCTTTCAGATTTTCTAATAAAGAGCAAGCGTTTCTCCTACTGAAAACAGTGGAGTCTCACAATGTGCTTTTAAAAACTAAGGCAAGAATCAGAACAACAGAACTTCTGCTTTTATATTATTTTGGTAGCTATTCCAGGGACTTTAGCTAACAGCTTTCATGTAAAAGGAAAAAACTAAAAAAAAAACCAAAAACCATGCTTATAAGAAAATAAGTTTAATGTGCTAAAACACATACACAAACATTGGTAGCAGTATTATTAAAAATAATAAATTTACAGGAAATTATGTTGATTAATGAAAACAAATTAATTCCATTGAATGAAATTAAACACAGCACTGAAATTCATTGCACAGCACTAAACACAGTGATGCAAAAAATAAAAACTCAGAGCTGCACCTCCAAAAGTTGACATCACTGTGATTTTTAAGATAGAGTTGGTAACTATATGCAGCATTTCAAAATATTTTTCAATACTGATCCTTGTATTATAACATATTTACATTCAAAGGCAAACCACTACAGCTCAGCTTGTACTGTCCTTTGGGAATAAATTAGTCAATCTCTATTGCTATAATCATTCCACATCAATATTTAAAATACGTAATATTTTAGGCATTACATAAGTTGCTGGATAGACATATAAAACTACCAAAAATAAACAAGGTCCAAATAGTAAAGTCAGTAAAAGACCTGAATTATTGCAAACTGATTTTAGGTTTTTGAGCCCAACTGTGTATCCATGAGGAATATAATGACGTTATATTGCTTTTATTGCTGAAAATGTAATCCGAGCAAAGCAAAGGAGGAATGAACCATCCGCAACCCAAACAAACTTAGTGAATACAAAATGAAAAGCAACATCAATTTCACTGCAGACAAACCCAGTCACACAGATTAAGCAAGCACAATACTGGTACGTCTTATCTCTGACCACAGGAGGAGGGTAGACAGATTCTACAGGATGAAGAAATTCAGACTATGTAATAGGCAGAATCAATTGTTACCTGCCTCAATCAATGCAGCTCCACTTTCACTGTTCAGCAGCTCACAAATAATTAAAGTTATCCTGGACAAAAACCTCATCTGTAATGACTAGCTAACCGCCACCATGACAAACTTCAAAGTCAGTGATATCAATCTGAATTCAATAGTGTGGAACTGGATATAGCTGATGAATAAGTATGAATCTTACCCTGATGGTCCATGCACGCACTTCATCTGGGCCTGCAGTGAAAAAGTATTCTAGTTGGAGTGCTGCATATCCAGCCTTAATGATCTTTGCTAAAGCACTGAAGGAAAAAAAAAGGAAAGAATCCAATTCATTCAGCATATACACATAAAACAGCTAAATGTGCCAAGTAATCAATTTACATGGAAAGACATCCTGTATTTTGAAGACACCAGGTCTACTTTTTAACACAGCAATAATTGCAGTAGCCTTTTACTTTGGACTCTCTGCAGAAGAACTCCTTTTTTACAGCGCAATCATAAAGATACGGTTTTGATTTGTTTATTTGGCAGGCTACAGAAACATGGGATAAATCTGAATCACCCTATCAGGCAGCACTTTTGGTCTCATGCAATTTTCAGGACTCCAGGGTCATGAAAGCATATCTGTTTGACTGAAACTCAATATTGAAACAATTTATTATAGTTCTTCAGAAAATTACAGCAAAATTTTCTCCACCGTCTTTATTCTCCACGGATGACGAAACAGTTTTGGTGATCATTCCTTCTCAAAAATATACATAACTAATACCTATGTTATAATTAAAACACTGTACAGAGATGACAGATGACAGTTAAAAACTTAATTTAAAATAAATCTTTTCACTCTGTCTCATGGTAAAGAAAGGAGAAGATTCTCTCTTTATAATGGTAATTACTCTGTCATTTATTATTCTATCAGCGCAAGCAATTAA